GGTTGCGGGCACATCCCCAGTAGGAGGTGTGCAGGAGGCAGCTGATCTATGTTCCTCTCTCATTGATGTTTCTAACTCTCTATTCCTCTCCCTTCCTCTCTGTAAAAAATCAATAAAATATATTTTAAAAAAGGTCCTGGGTGCAATACTAAAATGTTATGAAAACGATGAAAGGAGTTACATTTTCAGTCCTCAATCACTTTCCAGACCTGAGACCCAGGCCCACACCAAAACAGAAAGGAAGGTGGGCTTCTGCCAGGGGCAGGGTGGCCAGCAGCCCAGGAAAAGGCTCTGGCTACATGCTCGGCCTCCCTGCCCAGCTTCCAGGGAGGGCCCAGCCCATTCCCAAACCCAGGTGCAGTGGGTTGACTGGGTTCCCCAAAGGATACCTGTGCTTCGAACCTCAGAGGTGACCTTACGTGGAATCAGTCGGCAAAGCCTAGATAAGGCACCTAGATTAGGGTGGGCCCTACCCCACTGGTGGGTGTCCTTGTGAGAGAAAGGAGAGCTGTTTGGTCACAGAGACGTGCAGAGGAGACCGCACAGTGAGGATGGAGACAAACTGGAGTGATGTAGCCACAAGCCCGGAATGCCAGGAGCCCCCAGCAAGCCGCCTTGGGCTTTGAGGGAGCTGACAGCTTTAGTTTGGGTTTCTGGCCTCCAGAAATGAGAAAATGAAGGTCTGTTGTTTCAAGCCACCAAGTTTTAGGGTACAGGGGAACCTCATTTCTCAAACCTCGTTCCAGAAGGCTGTTTGCGAAGTGATTTGTTCGAAAATTGAATTGTTTTCCCATAGCAATAATGCAAATGGAATTAATCCGTTCCAGACCCTCAAATGATTCCGTTTCAACCTTTTTTATATATAGTACATGTATAATGTAGTTTAATCTATAAATAAGCACTCCTTTTCTTAAATCTATAGAACCGCCGCCTACTAGCCTTAAATACATTTTTCATATATCACTGCCTCTGAAATGCTATCTCCGGCTGCTGGTCCTTTATCCCAGTGGTCGGCAAAGCTCGGCTCCCTTTCTCTCTAAATTCAATAAAAATACATTTAAAAAGAAGAAGAATACAGGAGGGAACAGCCGATAGAAGAGATGCATGGGGAGTGGAGGGGAGGATTTGCAGCTCCATGCCCCCTCCAGGAGCAGCACCTCCACATGTTCACCAGCCCAGGTTTCCAAACGCCTTCATTTGGGGTTTTTATGGAAGTTCCAGTACACGGGCTGATTAAGTCATTGTTCATTGGCGATTAGCTCATTCTCCAGCCCCTCAACCTCTGAGGAAGTCAGGAGCAGGGAAGAAAGTTCCAAGCTCCCTATGATCACAAGGTGAGTTCCTCTGGCAACCAGCCCTCATCCTCCAAGAGTCACCTCATTGGTGAAAACCCAGGTAAGCCTGAAAGGGGCTTATTAATAACAGCAAATGCTCCTCTCACCCCCTCATTCAGGACATTCCAGTGTGTTAGGAGCTCTGTGACAGGAACTGGAACAAAGACAGAACATCTATTTATTATCTGACAATACCACAGGGTGCCTGGTGCCCAGGGAATCACAGGCGAAGCAAGCAGGAAACTGGTGCCTCTAGGTCAGGGGTGGGGGCCGTATAGGGGCCATGAAATAATTTGGTCTGGCCCTGCCAAGGCATTAGGGGTGAGTGAATTACTAGTAAATGTTTGGCCAAATATAGCAGGCTATTTTTTTAAAAAATATATTTTATTGATTTTTTTTTACAGACAGGAAGGGAGAGAGATAGTCAGAAACATCGATCAGCCGCCTTCTGCACACTTCCCACTGGGGATGCGCCCTCAACCAAGGTATATGCCTTGACCGGAATCGAACCCGGGACCCTTCAGTCTGCAGGCTGATGCTCTATCCACTGAGCCAAACCGGTTTCGGCTGGCTAATTTTTATTGTAATAATTTTGTATGGCCTGTTTTTGTTTTATAGCAACATAAATTTATATTGAGTTATATTAAGCAAATGATGTTATAAATATCCAAATGGCCCTTGGCAGAAGAAAGGTTTCCCACCTTGGCTCTAGGTGGGCTAGGAGTGGTGAGGGGCTTGGCTGGTGAGGGGCGCAGGCAGCGAGATCTCAGGTGACCATCACTGGTCACAGGGGGTCAGGGGCAGGGAGTGCATTGAGAGGGACCTCTCCTCCTCCACCCCGAGATACGGAAAATGTCCAGCTGACAACCAGGAGAAAGTGAAGCAAAAAGCGAGTCAGGTTAAGAAAAGCTCAGGGCTGAGAAGTGTTGAAGGAAGTCGGGTGGTCACAATGCAGAATGCCAATGGCTCTTCCTGGAGGGGGGAGGCCCGTCCACTGAGTGGGACTTTCCCAGGGCGGCTGTGCGGAGGGGCCCACCCTGCACCACTCAGGAGATTCACTTCCCTCCACCATCTGACTAGCAGGGATGGGCAAACTTTTTGACTCGAGGGCCACAATGGGTTCTTAAACTGGACCGGAGGGCCGGAACAAAAGCATGGATGGAGTGTTTGTGTGAACTAATATAAATTCAAAGTAAACATCATTACATAAAAGGGTACGGTCTTTTTTTTCTTTTAGTTTTATTCATTTCAGTCACTAGACCCACACCCCCTGGTCGCTGGCCCCACCCCGCATACCCCTGGCCCCTGGCGGGCAATGCCAGGCTGAAGTCTGGGTTAGAGTCTGAGTGCCCTACGTTTCCGGGGTCTCACTCGTGAAAAATTGCCCAGCAAAGGAGCTAAGCTAGTCTGGACTGCAGGGCACCGGCTCTCAGCCTGCGAGAAAGGCCCCCTGAGACATGGGCCCCAAACGGACAACTGGGGAAACACCTTGGATACAAATCGGCCTCCGATTTGGTTCAGGGGTCACCGATCCTCACACCATCCGCGGACCCCGGGCGAGCGCTGGTCATTTCAGTGTCACAGACAAGCCCGGGGCATTACTGCCTTCTCTCAGGCTTGCCGGGTTCCCGCAGGCTGGGACCAGCCCGCCGATCTGAAGCGCCCCCCGCACGCTTCGGCTCGGGAAAACCCGCGGTTGCCATGGCTTCCACGCCGCAGGCCCGCGTCGAGGCGGTTCACAAACCCGGGTCCCTGGGTCCAGCTCCCAAGCGACACTGTGAGACCTCCCACCACCGCGGACCCGTGCAGCCGGCTTTCCTACCCTAGGTGCCGCCTGCAGCCGCTAGACGCGCCTCTCCCTGGCTGCGACCGCTGGGGTGGCGCGGCGCACGCATTACGACATTTGAGCAGGGGGAGGTTGCGTCACAACCTCCTAGGTCTCGCGAGCCACAAGGAACCCAGCAAGCGCCGCTGGTGTAGTGGTATCATGCAAGATTCCCATTCTTGCGACCCGGGTTCGATTCCCGGGCGGCGCACGTGTTTTGTTTTTCCCCCCCATCTCAACAAACTGTCGGTGACAGCTGAAATTTCAAGCCGAGAGAAAGCCGGAAGCATGGGGTAACCATCCATTTCGGTGCAAGCACAAACGAGACCATTTCAGAGTCACAAGAACTATGAAAATGTTAGGGCAGCCATGGCGACAGAGCGCTGAGCTGAGGAGCACCTACACACCAGCAACCCAAACTCTCCGCCCGGTGCTCCGCAGGGGCAGCCGCCCCCTACGCGCCTCCCGATGAAGCGGGCACTTTAAACTGCTGCACGCGTCCTCCTGGGAACTGTAGTTCGTGGGGGCGGGCTTCGCGGGGGGCGGGCTTCGCGACGGCTTGACTACAACTCCCGGCGGGCCTTGCAGCGGCCGTGCTGCCGCTCTGGACGGACTAGCTGTGGCGCCGTGATGCTTTTGGCAGCGGCCGCCGAGCGGAACAAGGAACCAATTCTGCGCGTTCTGCGGCAGTATGTGGACCCGGCTCAGCGCGGCATTCGCGTGCTGGAAGTGGCCTCGGGCTCCGGCCAGCATGCGGCCCACTTCGCGCGGGCCTTCCCCCTTGCGGAGTGGCAGCCGTCTGACGTGGACCAGCGCTGCTTGGACAGGTGCGGGGAAGGCGGGGCCCCGGGTGATGTAAGTGGGCCTCGTTTCCCCCCCACTTCCCCCCCTTCCCCCGGCTTCTCGAGCCCACGTGACTACCGTGAACGCGGTTGTAGCGGGCGTCAGAAACCGGTGCACAGGCCACCCCCACTCACGGGCTGCCCCTCCGACAGCATCTCGGCCACCACTCGAGCCCAGGGATTGTCCAACGTGAAGGCTCCGCTGTACCTGGACGTGACCTGGGATTGGGAGAAATGGGGCGGGATCCAGCCGCAGTCGCTGGACCTGCTACTCTGCATCAACATGATCCACATCAGCCCCCTGAACTGCACCGAGGTCTGTGGGAGCTGAAGCGAGCCACCCAAGGACCAGTACCTGCGCCAGGGGGCACCCTTCCCCCTGCATTGGGTGCCAGGTTTGCCCCATTTCATAAGGCGCTGAGGCCTGGGGAGGTCAGGCTGAGTCTCCAGCCCCCAGCCCAGAGCTCTTTTGGAGGCCTGGGTAAAGTTACTCACTGCCGTCCTCCCCCCCCCCCCCCCAGGGGCTCTTCAGAGCAGCAGGACACCTGCTCAAGCCCAAGGCGCTGCTCATCACCTATGGGGTGAGTGCCCCCGCACGAGATGGAACTCCCCTGACCCTATGATCCCAACCAGCCTCAGTCGTCCCCTCTTTTCTATTCTCCTTCCCTCCTGTCTCAGTATTTTCCTTTGCCCTCTCTCCCACTACCTGCCACCATTGAAACAGGCCCAGACCTTCCCCTCTGTCTCCCTACGCCCCCTAGGCTCATGGGAGCAGGGAGCATAGCGTCCTTTTCATCCTCCAGGCGCAGCCTGCAAGTCTGCCCAGTGGCTGACCCTGTGTCCCTCTGTCTCCACAGCCCTACGCTGTCAATGGGAAGATTTCTCCCCAGAGCAATGTGGACTTTGACCTGTCGCTCAGATGCAGGTTAGAGCTGCGGGGGGTGCGTGGGCCTACTTGGGAAGGCAGGTGAGCTGGGTGACTCCCAACTCTACCTCTTTTCCCCCTGCAGGAACCCAGAGTGGGGGCTGCGGGACACAGCCTTCTTGGAGGACCTGGGCAAGGCCAGCGGTCTTCTCTTGGAGAAGATGGTAGGTGGGAGGGCCTGGGGGTCTGGGTGGCCTCCCTGGGCAGCTTCTTCAGCCAAAGCATCTCTCCTAGGTGGATATGCCAGCCAACAACAAATGCCTGATTTTCCGGAAAGAGTAACCCTTCTTCCTGCATGCCTATGTCCCCAGTGAGGCCCCTTCTGGGACAAACCCAGATAGCCAACCCCTGCCTCCCTGGACCAGGCCATGCAGACTGGCCTTGCCCATTCTGGGGGCTCTTGGTCAGTGGCCACAGGGCTGCTGAGAGCCTGGGAATAAAGTGTTTCCTGCTATCCTATTGCTGGTGTCCACTATGCCTCTTCCTGGGAACACCCTAGGTGGTGCTGGGTGTGCAAGCTGTCTCCAAGGGCTCCATTCCTGGGGGCAGGAGAGGTCTGGCCTATGGGGTCAGGGCTTATGGACGTCCTAGACCCTGTTGCTCCACTTGCACGACAGAGAAGGGAGAAGACTCGGACTGCTGAGGCAGGACTGAACTGGCTGCATGGCCCTCCTGCCACCAGAGGTGGCACCCACCCCTGGACCTAGTTCTGGCTTGTGCTCTTGGAGGGAAACAGGAGGCTCCCCAGGAGGGAACTGGTGCTCCATGGACTAGAGCCTAAACACCAGTGTGGTGGCAGGACCCAGCTGGATTACAGGTTGGATGGGGGAAGGGAAGGGTGGTAACCCTGGGAGGCTCAGCACCAGCAGGCCATGATGTCCCTCCTGGGAAATGCTTTTATTGGGGGGCGGGGACTGGGAGGACTGGAGGACAGGGGCAGGCAGTGCTCTAGGTAGGTGGGGCTAGTCCTGGAAGCGGTTGAGCAGCTCGCAGGCCCTCTTCTCCAGCAGCTCTGAGATCTTCTTGATGCGCTTCTCGCTGGCGATACGGACATAGCTGCCAGCATCCAGGACAGCCACACCGTCTCGTACTTCACCCATAATGACCAGCGGGCCATCACCTGCTGTCACATTGGGGCAGGGGCAGGCCCAGTCCATGCCACTCAGCGTCACCTCCAGGTACTTGGTGCCCAAGAACCTGAGGCCCATCTTGTCATCCTTGAGCACATCGTCTAGGGCCACGCGGGCAATGCTGCCGCCGCCAGCCTCCGATTCCTCTAGCACTTCTGTGAGTCGCCCTACAATAGCAAAGTCACTGCGGCACAAGCTCAGCGCCAGCTTGCTCCTGAGGCGGCAGGCCCGGCAGGGTGGCATGCGCGGCACAGGGCAGGCATCCTCACAGCTCTCCTGGCTCTCGAAGTTATTGCTGTTGCCTTCACAGCCACCATACACGAAGGGATGGCACTGCTGTAGCAGTGGGCTATAGGCCCAGCGTGGCTCCCAGCCTTGGCAGGGGCCCTGCACAGCTGGCAGCACACAGTTATCCCCTGGCCCGCGGGCACAGGCTTGCTGGCACTCCTCATAGGTCTCAAAGCCCTGGGTGCCTCCATCACAGCTGCCAACTTGGAAGGTCATGCAACCACCACGCTGTGGGTCAAAGTGCCAGAGGACATGGCTGGAGAGGGGGCTGGCACAGGCCTGCGCTTGGGGCAGGCACTCCGCAGGGGCGCTGGGGGCCCTGTCCCTGGCTGGATCCCGCTGGACCACAGAGAGTGGGAAGTCAGCCCGCAGCAGGCCAGCAGTGTTGCGTGCAGTGCAGGTATAGAGGCCGGCATCCTCAGGCCGGGCATTGTAAAGCACCAGCTGCCCAATGCTGGTGACCACCACATTGCCATACATCTGGTCTGGCCGCATGATTAGGTTCTCCCGCTGCTCACTCTGCTTCTCCCAGGTCACAGCGGGTGGTGGGCGGCCACTGACATCGCAGTGGAGGCTGGCGGTGCCCCCCACATACACCACCTGTGAGGAAGGGCTGCTGTAGAGGGCAGGTGGCACTGGGGTGTCCCCGGGTGTCGGGCGGGCAGTGGTCTCAGGTGGCCCTGGGCTGCTGGGTGGCCAGGTGAGAATGTGTTTGCAGGGCACGACGTGCAGGCGGAGACCACGCAGGCAGGCCTCTGCATCCATGTAGCAGCGATTATAGTAGGTGAGGCCATCTGAGGCACAGGTGAAGCTGGGTTCCTTCTCACAACGGTCACGGCAGCGGCACACAGGCTGCCCGTCCCAGATGTCGCAGTCTGAGCCCTGCTGTGGGCATGAGAAGCCCTCGCACGAAGCCACCAGTGCAGGTGTGGCCAGGCCACCCTCAGGGAATCGGGCAGCTACACAGCTCTGCAGCCCACACACGTTGGTGCAGCACTTCTCAGTGGCCAGGCAGTCCTGGAGGAGGAGGGGTGAGGGGCAGCTCAGCAGGCAACCGAACACTCCCCAGCCTCACCCAGGGCTCTGGCATTGCTAGGTTGGGGTGCCCCTACTGCATCTCCCTGAGCCTCAGTTTTCCCTCTGGAAAGCCAGGCAGGCTTGTACAAATTTCCATCCAGGGCTATTACAGTTACCTCACTGACAAGTCCTGTGTGTCATCTCACTGAATCCTCAGACCCCCTCCTCCCCCCAAAGCAGGTTTAATTATTATTCCCGTAGTGCAGATGACGAAACTGAGGCCCAGGGGAGATGGGGAGCACGCTCAAGGCCACTTCAGGGGATGCATGGCCAGGCTGCAAAGGGGCATCCAAATGTAGCCCCTGCCTTTCTACCTGGCTGGTCCTGAGAACAACTGACCCCTGGGTGGGGGTGGGCAGGTTTGGTGGGTGATGAGGGTAAAGATGGAGTGTCCCTAAGACCCTCATAGGAGCATGGCCTGAAACCCCTGCAGGATGTGGGAGAAGAGTAAGGAGACTCCAAGGGCTGGGGGCCAGGGGATAGGGTCTGAGCTTCCCCCAGGCCACCCTAATTTCCTGGGACTCCCACCGGGGTGGGTGGGGATGGTGCCCACACTCACCTGGTCCCCGATGCACTCGCGCTCACAGGTACTCTGGGCGTCCACCCACAGGTTGGGGCTGAGCTGGTTGGGGCACACGCCTGAGTGGCTTCTGGGCCCCTGCAGCAGGCTGGCCCCCGAGGTCAGCCCAACCATGAGGAGTAGCAGTAGAAGCAGCCTCTGGGCTGACATGGGGACCACCGGCCCAGAGGGCGGGGGCGAGTGGCTGCCAGCCCTTCAGGACTTGCTTTGTGCTGATCCCTTTAGGCATCCACCCTTCCAGGCCTGTGGTCAGCACCCTGACCTTGGGCCCCTGACCGATCCTCTGGGCCCCCAAGGTCTGAGCCCACAGCAAATGCTCCCTCTCAACACCCCTGTGCAAAGGACTGGGTGGATTCCAGATCTGAGCTCTGGCAAGACCCCTTCACAGCCTGGCCCTCTGTGGTTAACAGAGGGCAGGGGGCGTGGTGGGGGAGGGGCTGAGGCCCAGAAGCAAGGAGGCACTGGCCACCAGGGTTACTGAGGGGCGGAGAAGGGCTGGCTCTGGTCAGAGTTGGGAGGGGAGGGGACACTGTAACCGGAGGCCCTCCTCCCTCCAGGCTCTGGGCTCAGCGGATCAAAGCAGCTTCACAGACCCTCCCAGCTTGGATTCAGGACCCGGAAGGAGGGGGAAGGGAGATCAAACACAGGGACCGCCAGAATCTGCCCTTCCAAACCCTTCCCTGGGGTCTGGGGCCCCAGGAGCATCTGCTTTAAGACTGGATGAAAACGTCCCATGACCCTGTGTCTGACCTTCTGACCCAGGAGGCAGGGTAATAAGAGCCTGGTCTGGTCAGAATGAGACCAAAAGACATACCAGGTGCAGAGGACGCCATTGATCTGCTCTGTGAGGGGGCCTCAGGCATGGGGGGCCAGAACTTTGGACGGGGCTCAAGGCCCAGAACCCTCCCACAAAGCTGTGGCCTGAGGTGGGGGTAATGTGCAGTGTGATGGTCCTGGGCTGGAGTGCATGTCAGGGGACGGCCCACCGCCTACACCACATGCCTACTCGAAGCTCACTGCCCTCCCAGGCAGCAGTGGTTATGCCCCACCAACACCCCCAGGGAGGGTTCGGTCTCCCAGGTTCAGGATCCCAGGCTCCAGCCTTTGGGGGCAGCGGGAACAGGTGATCCCGCCAGCCATTTGCTTTACTGCCGTGTGGGGAAGGAAAGGCTGGGTGGGCAGCCTGCCTAACCCAGAGAAACACAGCTCATCCCTGTATCCGGGGAGGCTGATGCAGCCACACTCGCCCCAGTGGCCAGGATGTGTACCAGTCAACAAGACTAGTTATGGGGGGTGGTGGGATCGACAAAGCAGCCCTCGACCCATCAAGTGTCAGAGTGCAGACCCACCCCACCTCACACCTCCAACTGACCAGCCAGTTAAAACCAGAGATTTTAATTCACATAAAATGTAGCCTGGAGGTCAGAGCTTACATTTACTGTACAAAGAAACAAAAACCGTCCAAAATGAGCTCAGGAATGGTGCGAGTGTCAGCAGCAAAGGGTAGTGTTTATGTGGTGAACGCAGGACCGTCCACACCCTCACAACCAAATCCATGTTATTTGGTTCAAAATACAAAGAAAGGGGCTCCGTTGGCAGGACAGGACAGGCAGGGCCTCCTCTGCCTGACCCTGCTGGTGGCTAGGCCTTGAGCAGAGCCCCCAGGCACCTCTGCTCACAAGGGCCGCAGACCCCTGCCCAACCTGCCTCCCAGAACAGCAGGCATAAGGCTCCCTCCACAGAGGAGTCCCAGGGGAGCCCAGCAGGAGGTAGAGTTGAGCACCGTGACTGGTGGTCATGTCACCAGCCAGGCAGGTGGAAGGAATGAAGGCCTCCAGCTCAGGGTTGGCTGCCAGATCATGGAGGAGGTCCATTGCTATGACTGCTCCAGGTGGCATCACTAAGAACTGGGTTCTGGTGACATGTGACCTCAAAGAGGGGCGATGCCAGGTAAGGAGCAGCTATGGGGTGATAACCAAGGTCAGGGAACAGAAGCTGGCAAGAGTGGGATCCAGACGCCCAGAGGCAAGTGGGCCAAGACTCAGTCCAAACCTGCAGAGCACCTGGCAACCCCTCAAGTATTCATTGCCCACAGACAGCTCTGCATCTTCACACAGAGATGCAGAGCCCATCTCATGTAGCAACGTGTACGGGTCCCCAGGACAGTTCCCTCGAGGTGGGACCAGGAACAGCAGGTGGGGACTTGGGCTTGTTTAGAGGCCCAGCCTCTGCTGTCCTACAGGGCTCCTCTGGCTGAGACCACCTGCCTACTAGGTGTGCCCCACGGTCCCAGGAGGGGTCATGTGGCCAAAGTCTTCTCTGCACATGGTGCCGCCCGAGCGCCCAGCAAGGAGCTTCCCCAAGCCTGAGACCTCACTCCCCAAGCGTGTCCGGATGGGCGGTGCCTGCCTCCCCTGCTAGGAGATCTTGCAGTTGCTCCTGGAGCAGTTCTGGGGTGGGCTCTGGGGGGGACGGATGGACTTAGACCTCTTGAGGCTGTTGCCCTTGCTGCCGCCACCCCCCGCCCCACTGGCCAGAGAGTAGGAACGCCCATGCATCATCACGGCATTCATGCCATTGGCCATCGAGAAGGACTTGAGGTGGCTCTTGATGGTGACAGGCAGTGGGAGCTTGTCGATGAGGTGCAGGGGGGTGCAGGAGACGATGGCACGGCAGCAGAGGTCCTGCAGGCTGAACACTGCGGGGGGTGGTCAGAGAGAGGGGGAGTCAGACAACAGGGGTCAAAACAAACCATAGGGGGAAGGGATCAGTGGTGAGGGGTGGCAGGGCAGTGGGAGCTTGTCGATGAGGTGCACGGGGGTGCAGGAGACGATGGCACGGCAGCAGAGGTCCTGCAGGCTGAACACTGCGGGGGGTGGTCAGAGAGGGGGGGGGTGAGACAACAGGGGTCACAACAAAGGGGGAAGGGCACGGCAGCAGAGGTCCTGCAGGCTGAACACTGCGGGGGGTGGTCAGAGAGAGGGGGAGTCAGACAACAGGGGTCAAAACAAACCATAGGGGGAAGGGATCAGTGGTGAGGGAGGTGTCAGGTGGGAGGAGGATCAGACTATGGCAGGGGTCAGCCATGGAGAGGGTCAGACCATGGGCAGGGCGGTAAAATGATGGGGACGTTCAGACTGGAGAGAAAGACACTGAGGTGCTGAGAGATCTCAGAGCCTACGGACCTGAGTGGGGGGAACACTAAGGGACAAGCTGTCATCTGGCCAGATGAGCACAAGTGACACTAGTGGGGGATGTAGGTTTCCAAACCAGGACCCTGGATGCTCTACTACTCTACTTGGTGCAGGGCACCACCGGGTGCAGCCCCTGGATGGCACCCTGCTCCTGCTTTCTCCCTACAGCTCCATACTGAGAAATGTCCTTGGGGACCCCACTTCTGAGAGCTTAGCCAGCTTAGCACCTCGCAGGAGACTGAAGCTTCTGGGAACACTAGCTATCCCTGGCAGCTCTGGGTGGGCATGGCTTGAGCAGCTGAAGGACCGGAAAGTACACAGGGATTAGAAGCCGTTGCCCTGCTTGCTCTGAGACATGTCACCACCCCCAGCATGAGGGCATCATCAGAATGTAAGGCACAGTCCTCTCCCATAACTCTGGACCCCCACATAAAGCACATGCAGGATGCAAGTTGGTTTAGTTGCAGCAAGTTGTGGAAGTTCTACAACTGGGGAGCCTGGACACCTGGGAGGGACCACGACCTCTGAAGGGTTGCCTGTCCACTGCACTCTACACTCAGGTCTCAGGCCCTGGTGGCCCCACTGGCCGCACCTCACCTCGGTTGGGCCTCCAGATCTTCTCCATGCCATGCCGCATGAGCACGATACGGGACAGCTCAGTGAAGGACTCGGTGACATTGAAGTTGCACAACGGGCTGACCTCGAAGAAGGTCATGCAGTTCTTTTCTGCGTAGGCACGTGCCTGCTCTGTTGGAACTTGCCGCTTGAAAGCCAGGTGCAGCCGATTCCCAACCAGGATCCGGGGGACCCCAGGTGCATGCTGTGGGGAGGCGGGGGGTGGCAGAAGACAGCACAGGTATGAACGTGGGATGCCCCCCTTTTGGCTGTCCCCATCCCAATTCTATGATGAGGTGGGGCTCAGACCCATGAGCCATGGCCTCTTGAGGCATGAGATCCCGACCTTCAAGTGCCATGGATGTAAGAAAGGACGCACAAAGCTGGGGCCACGGGAGAAGCAGCAAATGGGGGCCACAAAGACTCTTGTGGGGATGGGAGCACACGTGCCCTGGGGAGGATGACCATGGAAGCGGGTGTCCACCTACCTCATCAATCTCCTTGATCCATCGGTCAATGCCATCAAAGGACCAGCGGTTGGTGATATCATATACCAGGAGGATCCCCTGCAAGAAAGATAAGCGTGTCACAAGGCTGAGGGGTCGGCCAGATGGAGGCCTCTTGTTCTGGCACGGGCCCCGGCATGGACATGCACCCTTCCTCCTAGGACAGGCAGGGCAGGGACACTTGGCACAGCCAGATAGCTTTCAGGGGATCGTACAGGTTACTTAACACATGGCAGTGTAGACAATGTACTGTGAGACACCCTGTCATATTTAAGAGGGGTCTCTGGTGTTGGACACTGTGTCTTCTCGCCTTGGCCAGGTCCATGTGGCCATGGACACCCTTATGTGGGGTGGCAGCAATGTCATCCATGGTCAAGGATCTCATAGGCTCAATGCTGCCCCCTCCCTCCCCTTGGGGACTTGGCTAGGGCAGAAGTGGCATTTTTTCAACTTCTTTCCTCCAAGTACACAGGAAGCACTATCCTGTGACCATTTGAAAGTCATGGGAGCTAAAACAGATGCACGCAGATCTACAGTGTGGGTCAGACCCTGTGGATAATCCTGGTAGGCAGATGTGGACAACTTGCCTGACACTCTAACAGTGTACTCTTCCTTGGGGCCCCAGGGAAGCTGAGCAAAGGTGTTCCTGAGTTTTCCAGCCCAAACTTGCAGAGCAGGACATCAGTTACTCCAGCAGCTGTATGTGCAGCTCCACTGGCCAGCAGGGGGTTTGCTACGGACTTTCCTGTCACATCCCTTAGAGACTAATTACTCAGAGCTCAGCTCTAGGCTGTCTCCATCTGCTCTGAGTGTCTCAGTAGTGACCTGTCACAGGCCTTAGGAAAGTGACTCCACAGAGTGCCTCCAGACCCTCACACTGCCCATCGGACCTGCACTCCACTCTGAAGCAGGCTCACAACCCTCCCTGTCCCACCGTGTCTTCATGCAGCCTATGTTCCCAATACACAGAGACAGGGAAAAAGTGCAGCTGAGATGGAAGGCACAGGATGTCTCCATCTCAAAATGAGTGATTTTAAAGCCTTTCTCCTTAAAAATGTTCTTCGAATTTTGGAAGACTTAAATGTAGCCCCTAGGTCAGTGATGGCGAACCTCTGACATGCATGTCAGAGGTGACCCTCGAACTCATTTTTTGGTTGATTTTTCTTTGTTAAATGGCATTTAAATATATAAAATAAATATCAAAAATATAAGTCTTTGTTTTACTATGGTTGCAAATATCAAAAAATTTCTATATGTGACACAGCACCAGAGTTAAGTTAGGATTTTTCAAAATGCTGACACGCCGAGCTCAAAAGGTTCGCCATCACTGCCCTAGGTCCTGTTAAGAGGAATGTAGAAATTACTGAACGCCCATCCAGTGGCCCTCTGGATGGAAAGCTTTGTATAGAACATACAGATCTGCCTACCTCCCCATGTGGAAGGGCTATGATTATAAGGAAAGACCCCCTCCCTTGAGCCCACTTGAAGAAACAAACCAGTTTGATGGGGACAGAGAATAAAACTGGAAGGGAACCATGGGGTAGCAGGAGTGAGTCCTGCTGCTTGGGGAAGAGGGAACAAAGCCCTCTGGTCTGGGGTTGGATGGAGACGTGCCATTGACCCTCCAAGTCCCCTCCTAAGAAATCACTGAGAATGTATCCACAGACCAGCCCTCACAGATGTTCATCACAGCATGAAACAAACTGCACATGCAGTGGGGGCTGCTGAATAAGTTGAGGTGCACACATGCTGATCCTGGGCAGGTGCACAACAGACTGCATAGTGAGAAGCACGGATCCTAAATAATATGTAAAATATGGTGTTTGTTTTTTGTTAATCCTCCCTGGGGATATTCTTTCCATTAATTTTTAAAGAGAGCGAGAGAGACACAATGTAAGAGAGATATATCTATGGTTGGCTCCTGCGTACCCCAACAAGGACCTGCAACCCAGGTATGTGCCCCTGACCAGATTCAAACCTGCAGCCTTTCAGTGCACAGGCTGCTCTATCCAATGAACCACACTGGCTAGGGCAATATGGTATTTTAAAACAGAAATATAAACATAGAACACACCACACTGAAAATGTTTTCATGGATGAAACCACATTTTCAAAGGCTGGATGAGGGCTTATGCTCTTGCTTTTGCTTATCTATGTAACACTGAAAAGCATAAACTAGCTTGGCTGGTAGCTCAGTGGTCAAGAGCATTGACTCAAAAACTGAAGGGTCCCAGGTTCAAGGGGCACATATTTGAGTTGCAGGTTTGATCTCCAGCTCTGGTCAGGATGTGTGTAAGAGGCAACCAATCAATGTGTCTCTCTCATATTGATGTTTCTCTCTCTTTCTCTCTCCCTCCCTTCCTTCTACTCTCTCTAAAAATAAAAAATAAATAAATAAACAGAAAAAAATACCCTCAGGTGAGGATTAACAAAATCAAACAAAAAAATTCAATTCAATTTTGGCATGTGTCATGCATTTGTATGGTAGAGCTCCCAAGGAACGCAGGCTGCAAGTGGAAGCCTCTGCCCCGCCACCACAAGCACTTAGGCTCTGGCTTTGCCCAGAAGTAAGTGACGCACTGAAAATGAGGAGCAACTATTAAATGGTCCCTGAGCCATATGCCCACCCACCTGATCGGCCCTAATCAGCACTCACCAAATGGTAAGTGCATGCCCCCCACTTTGAAACCCCTTTTTGTGTGGACAAACTGATCTCTGTCCAGAAGGAAGACCTGCTCTTCCAGCTGACCCCAAACCCTCAACTAAACAGGACACCCACTCCACCCCCGCCTCCAGCTCTCAGCACACTCCGCCCCGGGGACCTGTTCTCTTCAGCAGCAGAGGTGCTAGCCTCCCAGGGCCATGAATGGCCACATCACATCTCGGCAACACAAAACAAGGGTCATGCATATAGTAGGTCAGGGACAGAAAGGTTGTTTCTTGCCCAGCTGGTGTGGCTCAGTGGTTGAGCATATGAACTAGGTGATCACGGTTTGATTCCCTTCCGGGTCAAGGCACAAGCCTGGGTTGCAGGCTTGATCCCCAGTAGGGGATGTGCATGAGGCAGCTGATCAATGATTCTCTCTCATTACTGATGTTTCTCTCTCTCTCTCTCTCTCTCTCTCTCTCTATCTCTATCTCTATCTCTATCTCCCCCTTTCCCTTCCTCTGTGAAATTAAAAAAAAAAGCTTTTAAGAAAGGTTATTTCTCATGGTAAGAACTACAAGACAGTCCTGTTGCAGAACAGATGACAGCAGCCAGGGGTTGGTGGCTTTTGTAACTTGGGCCCTGAGGAACCCGTACGGTCCTCCAGTCTTAACCAAGGGTGGGAAAGTGACTGGAAATATAAAACTTGACTGGGAAAGACGGTCCTGCAACTCAATGTACCATCAGGGGCCACACAGAGCAGCAAAACCAGGCGGTCTACTCTGGATGCTGCCTTCACGTCTGCGCTGCCACCATCAGGCAGGATGGGAATGGGACAGAGCAGAACAAGCCACTGCAATAAGAGCACAGGAGGGCAGAGTTGAGCTCAGACCCTACCACTCACCACTCAGGCCCGAAATGTGCAACTGGCTCCTTCAGCTCAGAATTGACAAGAACCTCCAGAATTAAAGCAAGAGCAACAACAAATACACAACCACTGGACTGGATGCTCTGGAGAGAACGAAAGTGACTCAGTGTTTGCTTCCCTGAAACACTGTATATTTTGACAAATGCCCAAGCCTGTTAGGTGTTCTCAATTAGCTGAACATAAATAACTGTCTTCATACTGTTCCACGTTCACACCCAGAGTGCGCAGACCAGCTGAGCCCTCCCAGGTTTGACCTCAGTGCCTTCCTGATGTTTTCCAATTGCCCT